CCGTTGACAGGCAGCCATGATACCAGAGCCTGTCTGTATAATGTCTTGTGACGTCAGTTTTCACTACTGCACATGTGTGTCAAAGACAGAAAGGCAGATGTGGCAGTGGAAGGTGTCAAAGCAGTTTGGAGAGAAAAACAAAGTAAAGAACAAAAAAAAGAAAAAAGAAAACGATTAATCGATTATTAAATTAGTCATCGATTATTTTAATAATCGATTATAGTCGTCAATTAATCGTTGCAGCCCTATATTGCATGGTAAAAACAGAAGCTGCACTTCATATTAGTGACAAACTTTGGTGTTTTTTGAAGAGTTACTTTCATTTTTGCTTCTACTTTTCAATTAAAATAAGTTTCCATTCTCGGAAGGTTTCTAAGGTTCTTCTTCTACATATTAAAGTTGTTAAACATCTGACTGGCGCACTACTGCTACTAGTGGTGAGAAAGTGTATTGCACTTTATTCAAAATCAATGCAGTCCCGCGGCCCTCTGCGGCCCAAAGTTAAAAACTGTTGATCTTTTGAGGCCCTCAAGGTGGCGCTCGCGGCCCAGTTGCCCATGGGTTAAGAATCTCTGTTCTATACGAGCTTTCACGAGCTGCAGGAGGTCGGTGGGTCAAGCTCCAGCCATCTGTCAACTTCTCCCTCTGTCGTCCACAACTTCTTTTTATTTTTCCAGGTGATACAAGATGTTCTAACCCTTCCCTCCTCAAGGTGTGTCCAAATAAACTGGCCTGTCCCAGCATGATTTTTTTCATTTGCTCTTGTGAACACCTCTTCTTTGRGCATTGTGTCAGTATATGAGATCTTGAGCATTCTTCTTAAAAACCACATTTCTGCAGCATTCATGATGTTAACAGCTTTTTGGTTCATGGTTCAAGTTTTGCGTTCATATTTCACAATGGGAATAAAGTAACACTCCAACACTCAGAGTCTTCACAGAGGCGGACATTTTGTACTGTACTCTACAGTACTGGTATATATCATGCTGTATATTTTATTTGATCCAGTCAGAGGGGCTTTAGGTCTATAAGGAAGGAGAGCCACCTTGTTTTAAATAAAAGAAATGATTTTTAAGGTCAACGTGTAATGTCTAGGTTCTAACTTAGTAAACACTCTGTATCAGTGAATAACCAAACTGAAGTACTCATACTCTGAGAAAAACTGCAAGAAATCAAAAAGAACCACAGATGTGAGTGTTAGAAGTTAGGTAAATACCTACAAACCAAACTTTTTGAAGGTCTTGATATATTTTTTCCTCCTTTTATGCTCACCTATTTGTTTTGTTTTATTGAACGCACTACGATCAAGTGCTGGACGGGTTATAGTCCATATTTTAACCTRCGTTGTCTAAGATCACAGAAATAAATCACTAAATGACAAGGACGCAGTGCTGCACTGACTCCACTGTATGTGATTTATCCTGACATGAAATGAATGTTGTGGTTATGTGGCTGTCTAAATACAATTTATTAGACAACTTTCCACATAAATAACTGCAAATAACAATTTAAATGTCTATTCATTTTTATGGTACCATATTTTAACCAATATTTCTTAATTAGTCTCAATCCTGAAAAATAAATTTGTTTTTAATTTATTTGAATACAAAAATAAAACTGTGTTTAAAACAAAAACTGTAAACATTCAGTCTACAGCAGCAGATAGAAATGCAACAGATGTCTCATTAAAAGGGCTTAAACTCTATTAGTCAGTCACTGCTGCTAAACGTTGGTAAAAACATTGTTGTGTGTCTTTTTCTGTTACCATTATCCAGCCTGTTTGGCAAAATGTACACAATTACAACAATCATGCAAAAATTATAGTTCATTTCTACAGGGCTGTTTGAGACGTTGCATTAAGTTACTGAAACAATGCCAAGAAGATTGTGCACTTTAATTAATGTCAAAGGCAGTCAAACAGTCTTCCAATATTAAGTGTGGGACTTTTTCTTCGCTAGGCAGAGCATTTATGCATTACATGGTGATGATGGATGTTTTGTTGCCTCCGTGTTCGCCTGTAATTGCTTTTCTTTACTCATCCTGTGAGTCTAAACCACAGGAAAAAAAACTTTCATATAAGGAGTTAAAGTTTTAGGAGTAGGGGGCTATGTAGAAAAAGTAGGGGCTGATCATTTATAGAGATCAATCAAAAGGGGCCACCCCCATGAAAATACAACGTGTATTGTAGAACATCTAATGAAYTTTCCTGGCATCTGGAACAAGGCTAGGAGTTGAAGAGTCCAGAATCTGCAGTTTTTGAGAAAATTAGTGAGAATTTTTTCATTTTGTCTCCAAGTGTTGACTGAGTGTTGTGAGAATATCTGTGTATCATGTAAAGGAGACATATGCAAAATCCACTTTTTTAGCAGTCACATGCATTTTGTTGTGCACTTGGGAGTCTCTAGGAGTGTAGAAAAGTTTAATTTAGTTTCTCCCAGTGCTGCTGTTTTTCAATCTATTCAGTTTTCTCTATTCACCATTACATTTTTTAAACAATAACGTCACAGTATTTGCTGCGGAACTGCTAAACAAGGTCATGGACTTCCAGCTAAACAATCTCACAAATCTACAGTTCTGCAGGTTGGTTGTCTTCATCCTCCTCTGGCTCTGGGTCAGACTCTGGCTCCATGTAAGGCTGGATGAACAAGTCTTCTGTTGTCGACACCTTCTAATCCAATTGTGTATAAAAAGTTTTGTTCCACTACATAATCGTTTTTCTGCTATCAAACTACAAAATGGCTGAAAGGGGTGGAGTGGGACAGGGTGTGAAACGCCTCATTTGCATTTGAAGAGACAGTGCCAAAACGAGTTGCTCCAAGTCACAGATCAAAAAAGTGATGGAGGGGTTAGTACAGCTACAATAACCAGGAACTCAGACCAAAGCTCCACTTAATGTAGACCACAACTGAATGATTTAAATGTCAAAAAAAAAATTTAAAAGCATGACATGTCCCCTTTAATAAGAGTTTCAATAATTTAATGTTTCATTTTTATTGTTCCATCCACAGCTAGCTTGTGGTGAGGCAAGAAAACATCTTAGTGATGAATGTCATGTCATTCATAAAGTAGAAATAACAGTACCAAATGTATGTTGAAGAAAAATCAACAAATGTGCATAAAATCAGATAAAAAGGAGCGTGTCGTGTGTCTAATGTAGTGGAACAATTTGACATTAGTTTTGTGTCAGTGGGTAACATTACCTAAAAGTTATTGATTTTGGTTTCTAAAGGGTTGTTCATTTGGTAATTTATTGATGGTCTCTAAGTGAACCACTATGTGGAGAAGGAACAAGCAGCCAGAGTGCAGCTGACAGAAATCAGACAGCCTGTACCGGGTTAGACTGGAGGACAACGCTAAAATCCCAGAGCACAAATATCCAATATTCAACCTGAAACTAACTCCACTGCAGTCTTTCTGAATGGGAACTCCCACTGGACAAGTTTAAATTCATGACTTATAAGTAGGACATGCCTATTTCCCAGTACAACTGGATCACTGCAGAATTAGCTGGTGACAATGTGGCTGAATAGAGATTTTACACGGTGAATTTCACCAGCTGCTGGCTACTTTTGAACCCTATGAAGAAGCTGCACCTAAGTTTGTAGATCGGTGCAGTTTCGGAATCCCATCAGCGAAATGGAACTCTAACGACACAAGCTTTTTATGACTTGCAACCAAACCCTAAATTGGCCTCAACAGTAAATGTCAGTTTGTAACTAGGTGTCGTTTTTCTCAAGGACTTAACTGGCAAAAATAGTTTAGGTAATTTAATACTTTGAAATGTTATATTACACTGTGGTTTCGGGTGAGGGGTCTGAGCTGTTTAAGCAGTCAGACTGGAGAAAGTTGGGGGAGCAGGTTTGCATCCAGTGACCACATCTCTGCAGGCTCGCTCCCCTGATGACAGGACTCAGACCCTCCTGAGACAGCAGTGCTGACAGCTCGTCAAAAGGTTTCACGACACAAAAAATCTGAAAGCCAATACACTCCAGAAAGGAAGAGGAGCAACAGACCAGGGTGTGTAATTTTTCTAAGCTATCGGTTAGCGTTCAGAATTTAATTCAACTTAATTAACGGTATATTTCTTACTCAAGCTTCCCGATGTTTTACACGGAGGACAAATTAAGTCAGAAAATATTGGTTTATCGACTGCGTGTGCCACTGTCGAGGAGTGAAACAACACAGAAAATTAAGAACACTTGGAGAAAACTGGACAAAAAAATGAATGTGCGCCAGTAATTTTTTTTTTCTCTGTTATTAAACAGCCTGTCAATGACTCATGTGAGATTGTTTAAAGCCTCGGTGTTGAGGTGCCTGCCTCGCTGCAAAGAAATACAGCTCAATAAAGAGTTGCAGGGATACTCCATTACTTATTTACATAGTGCTGCCGCTGCAATACCTTTGTAGTCGCAGTAGGTTCCATAGGCAAAAAGGTTCAGGAGCTGGTACACGGGTGCATGAGGGCCATTCTCCAGCTGTGGTTTGGAAACAAGGTAAAAGAAAAATGAAAAACATACAATTGCATTTCATCYATCCAAACTGAGTAGGTCTGACAAAATGTCTAACTGCAACTGTAAAGGTTAGAAACACCAATAAAACCATAAGAATAAATAAATTAAAAGCTCGAGTCTGAAAAGGAAGATGGTTTAATATGCACATCAATGTCTGTCTGCAGATCTTTTGAATCGGATTACATTTTACATCCCTGGTCACTCACACYGTTTCTCAAAGACTAACCAGACCATATTAAGAATTTTAATTGCAAATTTTTTGCTCGTCAAAAAACACCTGAGGTGTCCAAGACTCCCACCAGGCAAGGCAGATGCTTTCCTACCGTTTTTTTTTATTTTTATTTTTTTGGTTTAACCAGTCAGGTGTTAGACTTAAAATTTAAAAGGACTGAGGTGCATTTTGTCTTACTTCTATCATTGTAACACTGATTTGACAAGTTTTAAACAGGAAAGGAAAGAAAACTAAATTTAAAAAATTGTATTCTGTTAATCACACATTTGAAAAGTTGATGCTTGATAATGTTCAAAATTATCTTTCTTTTTGCCAGAGGAATGCTATGTGACGAAAAAAATTGTACAATTAGCAAATATTATCAACTTATCTAAAGACAAAACTACAACGGAKTATTAGAGCCAGATTACAAGAATTGTTATATTTTTAATAACTAAAATAAAGTCATAATATCATTATTATTAAACCTTTATTTTAACATGTAAGTCAGTTGAGAACCAATTCTCATTACAATGATGACCTGGTCAAGAAGCAGCAATAACTGCCAGAAAAAAGTTGAAAGAATACGAGAATGAAGCCATTAATATTACAAGGTAAGGGTTTAAGTAAGAATTTATTTGTAATAATATGAGAATACAGTCATAATATTACAAGAATTAAGTCGTATAATTATTAGAATATATTGATATAATTGTGAACTCCTACACCTTAAAGAAGTCTTACCACTGTRTTAAAATGAGRAATGTTGAGCATCTTCTGAAGTTATACTTTGATATGTGTTTAACAAATAAAGAAATACTTAATCTTTTAACACATCAGCAACAAATGATCAGTAGCAGGACTTTTGAAACGATTGTGTAAACGACCGTGTCGATTTCAAAGAGGCTTTCCTTGTATTATTTGGACTTTATTCTCATTATTTAAAAAAAATCTCAGTCAGGCCCTAATACTCCATCGTATAAAACAGAACAAAAAGAAAGTGAATAATCTATGAGTAGGATAAAGCCTTTCCTTTGATTAAAAAGCAGAAAAAAGGAAACATATTCAAGCTGAAAAATCACAGAAGCTTTGTGTGGCATCAAAGGTTTGTCACTCTCTTGTTTAGGAGAACTTCTGCACTTTTTAATTCATACATTTCTTTAGAGGACAGTCTTTTAAATTATGAATAAAGACAACTTGTAGACAAATGCGGATTCAAACTAAGAGTGAATGATCATCCTTTGTTGCATATTTTTCATTTGCTTCAATATGTTTTTATTTTGTCTGAGTCATAGTTTCATGTTTCTCATTTCCTCAATCACAAATTTAACCTGGCCATTTTTCCCCCTCTCTTGCTCATTTGCAATAAACACAGGGCTGGAAATTTTTTTATAGCCGCATCCCTCAGACATTTAATTTCACAATATTGTCTTCAATTTTCTGAAGTGATGCTTGTGTTCCATTTCATCAGCATGAAGTCACATTATAGTCTTTTAGTAAATGAGGACAAATGCAATTTCACAGTTTAGTTCGGAATAGTGCTTCAAATCCCTTGCAAAAATTACGGCTGGTCAGATATGCTTTTAATTTTTTTGCTCAGGAGCTTTCTAATAATAGATCTAGTGTTGGAGTATGATTTTATTTCCACAATAATGGTTATAAATTCCTGTATATTCTGATAATTAACTCTGTAGGTGTGATGATGCTGTTATAAATTCAATGTATAGGAAAAAATCAGGTGAAGAATGTGGATGGATGTTAATTTGGAACAGAAATGTGATAAAAGTACTTTCTACTTACAGTATAGGACAAATTAAAAAAGAAATGTTTCATTCAAAACATATAATCTTGATGGATTATTTGCATCATCAGATTTTTCCATGGGTCTTCCACGTCTAAGTAGATACCAAAGACAGGAAGTGTTAATATGTTTTCCTGCACAGCTCAGTTGTGACTGTAGCATTGTGAGAGACTATTCAGGGTGTAACGGTACAAGTTTGTACCAATCCGTCACAGTACAAACGTCTGGCGTGGGTACACTGAAGTACACGACAAATAAATTTGTCACAGCTGATCGTTGTTTCCATCTAGAAACAGGAACATGTTTTATTTAACAGCTTTTTACTAACCGCCAGAAGAAACACGAGGAAGATACAGTTTATTTAATCTCTACAACAAACACAACATGAACGGTTGTTCCAGAGTAATATGCAGAAACATAAATATATTCCAGTTTGTTTCAAATCAGCWGCATGGAAAAGTTTCCTGGTCATTATTAGTGGAGAAATGGCAAGCTGTTGTGTCATACAAGTCATTCAAAACCTTTATATTTATTCAATAACCCAGATGTCAAGAATCACTTTCCCCACACTAGCTCTCAGCTACCTCAGAAAATAGAACAGTGTTTCACATATTATTTATTTACATCGTGGGATGTTATTTAGTTCTCTGTAGTACTTTCTATCAAGTTTAGGTCAAATGAACTGAAGCAAACATCAGTTGTTTTGCTTTTTTTAAAACCAACAGAAAAATACTTTTCTTTCTGTAGCACACTGTTTACAGTTAATATATATCCTTTGAGCATCATCATCATTACAATGTACATCAAGGAACTAAAGCCCTAAACCATAAGTCATTACATTAAACGGTCGCAAGTTAGTGCTTTTATTTTGACATATTGCTTCCACCGGCGGAAGTGAGAGCCTTCATGTCAAAACAGCTAAAACTTTCATTTTGCTGTGAGACTTCTGGRACAATAAAGGCAATGTTTTTCAGAGAAGTGTTATCGGAGAATTCACAAGCTGTGGAGGAAGACGAAGAGGATCTTGATAAAAATGAGGAAGATGAGCACATTTGCAGAGAACTGGAGGAAAATAGGTCAAATGTGGTTAGAATGAATGCTGTTAGCATGAACGCTAATAATAAACAAAGTGACAAAAAACAGAAACTAAGGCTACGTTCACACTGCAGGGCTCAATGTCCAATTCTGATTCAGGTCTTTTGGCGTGGACGTTCACATTATATTTTAAAATCGACTTCCAGCTGACTCCTTTGTGAACTCTTCACGACCCTGATGTGACCCGTCTGTGACATGATGACATGACGTCAAATACAGCTGGCTTTTTACAGAACAAGCTAAACATGGAAGCTAAATATTAGCATGTTGATTCTGTTGTGCAATCAGAGCCAATTAAATAATTATGCGACATGCTTATTTATTATAGTGTTTATACCTGAATCTGCCTCTGACCGGATGCTCCGGTGCAGCATTTTATTTTTGGAACAAAGCAACATATTGTAAGTAATGTATCGATCAAATAACTTYGTATCGATAAGGTCCGGCTTTGGATGCTACATGGAAAATTTAAAGAATAAAGATGAAGCAACTTCTGTTCTGTAACTGAAGATGTGTGGAGCTACAAGATTTAAACTGCATGATTGTTAGTGTCATTATTATTTCTATATGGATCAATGCATCTTCATTTGTATATCTGTTAGCAAAATATCTCATGAACCACTGGATGAACATTAATTAGACTATGTAAAATAATCATTGGATGTACCTTAATAACCAACTTGTGGATTCAGACAGAAGACATGCATTCCTTTGGGAAAATACTACTTCTCCTTCAGTCTGCAGTCTGAGACATTTTCTAACTGACGTATTTACAGACCAAATAAGTAGACAAAATAATAGGAGGGTTTCACGTGACGTCACAATGCAGTGCCACTAGAGCGCGAAGTTTGGATGGAGGTCGGAAGTGGAAAAAG